AACTGTTCTGGAACAGTGTTGTAAATACAACTTAACCACTGATTTCTAGTTGTGTCCTCTTTTGGAAGGCCAAACAAAGTAGTTTCACTTTCACAACGAAACACACAGCGTATCCACAACATGGCGGCGGCGGCAACAATACTACAGCGAGAATCAAAGTTACGCCTTCTTTCTTTGCGTGAACATTTGGGCGGTGTTATGCAAATCTTGCCACACAGTGATGTAGACATGTGGGGGCGTGATTAAACAAGGCGTTTTAGGAGGGCGTGGCCAAGTCTTAACTTTTATAAAGAATATCTCTTTGGGTTTGAGACTTTAGTCTTTGCAACTTTAGGGATCTTATCTATTCACGAACAGCTTGTAACACTCCAAAGAGAACGGAAAACTTGAAATCGCATCATATGACCCCTTTAAACACTCCTGAACCAGCTAATTAAGGTCTTACTAGGCACACTAGAAACTTCCAGGCAGGTGTGTTGAGGCATGTTGGAGCTAAACTCTGCAGGACACCAGCCCTCCAGGTACAAGTTTGGAGACCCCGTCCTAGAGCTTTCAAGCTCCAGCCACCAAATTCGGCCCAGACCTTCAGCCTGTTCTGACTTAGCCTGCCCTGTCTGTTCTAACTGATCGGTCTCATGGTTTTCCGATTAAAACTGGGAAAATTTCCATTGACTTATATTGTTCAAATGAGCCAAGACTATTCAAACTCCAACTGACAAAATTCAAATGAACACAAAGAAGCCGGTTAGACTCAATTAAGCTGCCATTCTATGTTATATCTTAAACTCATATAGATTGCATTATACCTATTTCTTATCTATCTATCAGTCTATAATCTGACATTTTCTATCTCAAACTTTATCAAACGTCAGGATTTTAAAACTGCTTCAAACCTGCAGACAAGGCTTTTTATCTATTAACTTGGTCTGCTAGTTTTGTTCTATTATTATACGCTAACTTATCGGAGCCACATTCCTGTCAGAAATGTTTTTTTTTTATCAAATACATGTTTGCTAGTTTACCTGACAGGCTACCTGGTAAATACCGACACTAACTCCGTTTTGAAAAGGAATTACTCTCCGCTCTGCGTTTTTGCTAAAGCACATTTTGTGTGATTCCCGCTACTGTTATGTGTATTTTAAATAGATACTGTACGCTAAACCTGTCGCACTGCGAAGCCTCAATATTGTTTTGATTCTCGGAACAACAGAAAGGGGGTGTGGGACGCGCGCCGCAGGACGCATGCTCGCTCCTCTCTTCATCCGGGTACCTGTCGTTGACTGTGTGTGTACGGAGGCGGGAAATGGCGTCCAGAGGTGCGGGGAGGACAGAGGTGAACCTCGTCTGAAGAGGCACGCGAAAAACAGCGAGTGTCAGCAACCCTGAAAACGACCGTTATCCTGTGACTCGATCCCCGGAGATTCCCCCAGTAAGTTATTATTACCCAGTCTGTATTGTTTGTGGTGATAGGGTTCCCCCAAAACACCCGTCCTTTCGCTCCGGTCGGAAATGTTTCGCTGTGATTCGGCTCGCTCCCGTAGCACCGATATGCGCGGACGGGCAGCTGCCGTCTTCGCGAGTCGTTCCCGCGCTTTCTCTGTCATTAGAATCTTGCCGGCTGTTTTGAGTGGCACATGAGGCTTCTTGAATGCGTCCTACATTGGAAATAGACATGCACAGATGTGTCAATATCGTTTGCTGCATGTAAAAATACATCTCACATTTTAGGCTCAGTCTGAAGTCGTGCGATCATTGTGTAACCGGTTATTCTTAATGTCTGGCTAAACAGGGAAATCGTGAGAAAGTTGCTCGTCTTCCGTACAGAATCTCTTTAGCGTGTGTTTCCCGCCCACCACTACACGGTTCAGGTTTCAGCGGCTGAGCTTCATCATTTCTGAAGTGTCTGATGAGGTTGATCAGTTATGGTGTGGCAACACTTAATGTATTTTCTTTCTTTTCTTCCTTTTCTAAAGACTGACTGACTGTAGTTAGTTGGACTGCAGGGCAGTGCTCCTCAACTAGTGCCATTCCATTGTCAAGTCAGTATTTGAAGAAATTTCAGCATTATAATGTGTTCTTCCTTTTTTGGTGTAAAAACAAAATGCACTTTTTAAATTCTGCAGAAATCAGATGTATATTTTGTTACTGCTAATATTTTTCGTAACTCAGACTTTCTACTCAACTAACGTAGCCTATAACTTTCTAAAGAAATGAGTAAATACAACAATTTAGGATCTGCTGATAGCCACTGTAAAAAATGTGAAATTACTTGCAAACTAATGCAGCTTTTAAGTTTGTATTTTTGAAATTCATCCAAGAAGTTAGATACTTTGTCCGTCAAACGTTTGCTATTCAAAGTCACAGGTCAGAGAGAGTTCACAATATGTAAGGTACACATCGCAGTGTTACCGTACACTAAAACTACTGAAATTATTTAAATTAATTAAAATAATGCTGACAAAATATGAATTTTAGAAATGTTGTTTTACCCACTAACTGTAAAAATACGTTTAAGTACTAAAATTAAAGCGGAATGCAATAAATATATATTTCAGATATATTTTAAAACAAATTAATAAGTACTATAATAGTGAGTAAATAATGCTTTTCATGTAATACTTAAAAAAAAAAAAAAGTCATTTTAAAGGGGTCATGATGCTTTTTTAAAGATCATTATTTTGTGTATTTGGTGTAACAGAATATGTTGACATGCTTTAATGTTCAAAAAACACATTATTTTTCAAATACTGTACATTATTGTAGGTCCTCTATGCCCCGCCTCTCTTAAACGCTTCGTTTTCTACAAAGTCCCTCCTTCCGACAAGCGCAGTCTGCTCTGATTGGCCAGCTGACCCAGTGCATTGTGATTGGCCGAACACCGCAAGCACTCGTCGGAAATGTAACGCCCCTTACCATAATCGCGAGCGTCAGCTTTCAAAATAAATGTAAAGACAGAGCCCGAAAGGGGAACAGAGTCGCGTGACAGACACAGTGATGAAGCTGGTATATGTTTGCAGTACACAAGCCACGGTTAAGACAGCTGACTCCACTGTGATGTGACCCTCTCTCTCTCTCTCTCTCTCTCTCGTGCTCTCTCTCTCTCACACACACGCACGCACGCACGCACACACACACACACACACACACACGATGCGCAAAACTCCTGCTTCAACACTAACTGCGGTTACTGAAACCACGCCTTCTTTCTTTGCGTGCACATTTGGGCAGCATTATGCAAATATTTCCACATAGTGAGGTAGATATGTGGGGGCGTGTTAGAACGAGCCGTTTTAGGGGGGCGTGGCAGAGTCTTAACTTTGATAAAGAATATCTCTTTGGTTTTGAGACTTTAGTCTTTGCAACTTCAGTGATCTTATCTATGCACAATCAGCTTGTAACACTCCAAAGAGAAAGGAAAACTTGAAATCGCATCATATGAACCCTTTAAGACATTTTGTTCCATTAGAAGTTTACTGATGCCTGATAGTGGACTCGGGTTCTCCAGTTAAGAAGAGAACCTGTCCTGGTTGTCCGGCTAGACAGGTTACCAACAAAGTGCAATGGTATTTTCTGTGAAGCCTTGACGTGTCATGCTAATTCATTAAATAACATGTCCATGTTCAGCAGTTACACTTTCAGGTTTATAATGTACTTTTCCACTGGGCCTAGAGCCGCTGCTCGGCCAAGAGTGGCACTCATTCAGAACCGGCTCGTGTTTCCACTGGCAGGGAGCAGATCCTTCTACGTCACCAACCTGTGACCGGAATTGCTTGTTCTCTCTTGCAGAAGGAGAGCATTGATCTGTTCTGCCGACCACTGTTGAACTGACATATTTAATTGTTGTGTTAATGTTGTTAATTTACCTGAACCCATGATGGCTTTTAAAAATGACGCCTTTCAAAATGCGATCTGTAGTGGAAACTCTGCCTACTGATGTCATAGGTTCCCTTGTTCAAGACCAGCAAGGTTCTGGGGCCGGTTCAGAACCAGGATCTGGGCACCGGCCCAGGACTTTTTTGAGTGGAAAAAGTGCAGCCCGGTTCCCAATTGGGCTCCGGCACCATCCCCGGTGAAAAAGCGGTAAGAGTCAAACTGAGCAGACACAAAAAAAAGCCTCAGGGATCAGTTCTTGGAAACGTGTCAGCAGACTTGAATTTGCTGCCGGTCTGTCAGGGCATGTTTTTGTTTCGAACCAACTTTGTGTTTATTTTATTAATTAATTAAATTTAATTTTTTGCTGTCAGAACATGTTGACTTTCAGAAAACTGCTGTGGTTGAAGAGGTCAGAGAATCGTTTTGCAATCATCATTTTTATTTTGATGCGTTAAACGTGTGTAATGTCTGTTGATGTTATTTACATCCAGAAATTTGGCTTTAAACAAGCTTCATCGAATCTAACTGTGCTGTTGAAGACTGTTGAATATCACTGTGCCTCAGTTCTTCTAGAAGAATATGGCGTTATTTTAATGACAAATGTCGAGAGCGCATTATTGTAGCGCGAAAGCACATTAATACAATGCGCGAGCGCGGATTTCCTTTGCTCTCGCACAAAACCTGACGCGCGCGCTCAGATAGACGCTGCTCTCGCCCGGAGAGAGTGCGCGCACTTAAAACGTGTCTCCTCTCACTCAAACTGTGTCCTGTGCACTCTCAAATCTCTCTGTGCTCATGCGCTATAGATATTAATTCTTTTCGCACCTGAATTAAATGTCAAAAGAAAACATACGTATTTTATCCTCTGAACGCGATTTTTAACGGGGATCCCCCCGAAACGCGTTTGGGCGGGTTTTATTGTGAAAACCTGGCAACCTCTTCATAAAAGCAGTGGCAGAGATTATTAATGTGCTTTCGCGCTACAATAATGCGCTCTCGACATTTGTCATTAAAATAACGCCATAGAAGAAAGGCTTTAGCTCCTCAGTGTTGTGAGGTAGCTGTCTTGGCATGATGTCTGTTCGAGGGAGTGGATGAGTCACCATTTGTGGTGGTTAAGGAAAAAACTGAGATGTATTACCATCTGTACCCTTTCTCTCTTTACTTTTCGCCATTCCTCTCCTTTCCTGTCTCTTACATGCTTCTATGCTTGCAGTATGTCTCATCGTTGTCCTCGCTGCTTCTCTTTGTTTAACTCCTGCACACTGCAGCCGTGGCAGGAGGAGCTTCGTTTTCCTCTCCTAAAATATAAAACTCATTTTCTGTAGACAGTTAGTTCTCATGTTCAGTGCAATTTGGGTTCTCTGTGTATTTATGTATCAGATTATCCTGCATGTGATTACAAAGGCATCTGGGAGGACATAGGAAATCTACTCCAGTGTTTTTTCATGTTGTGTTAGATCTACAAAGCTTTCCCCAGCTCCTTGGAAATCCATTGATACCCTGGAAAAAGGGTAATTTTAATGTGCATCTTTTCTAAATGATTGTAGTTAGATTTCTTGATGGCTAGTATTGGGAAGGAACAGTCAGACCTGGCGTAACTCCTGAAGGGTCACAAATGCTGGAGCACATTGGTGGTCAGTTGTTGCGTAAGCACACTTTGAGGAGGGGGGACGCATGATCAAGCGCTGTAGTTAATTTCATGATTATTTTCCCCCCCTTGATGTACAGGGTTGCCTTTAAAGAAGAGAGGGACACTTCCTCCACATCGGGAAAACATTAGGCTAGCTGCTTTTCCCTCTGTCCTTTTTTCATTTCTCTCTTTTTTTTATTTTTTTGTGTCTTGCAAGAAACTGCTGCTTGCTGTTGATCTGTAATTTCCTCACATTTATTTCTCTTTGCTAGTGCATTGTTAAGCAACAGAAAAGTAAGACTGAAAAAGACCAAAAATGAAAATTGTCATTTATTCACCCTTGTGTCAGACTTTTTTTTTTTTCTTTTTTTTTTCTTGTTTCTTTTTTTAATGCCCATGCAATGAATGTCAACAGGGTCCCGTATTGTTTTGGACCCCAGTGACTTTCATTGAATGGACAAAAACAGTTGAAAATTCAAAATACACTTAAAAATATGTTCTATTGCGTTTAGCAGAAGAAAGCATGTCCATTTAGAATTCTTCTGTATGTTGGAAATAATAATGCATTTGTAGTTGAGTGTTTTGCTGTGGAGGTGCTTCAACTAAATGATGAACTATGTTGAAGGATGTGTTGTCTTGAATGCATCCAGATGTCTGTGGCTAGAGCTATTGGCTGAAGTGAGCTAAGCACCATAATTAATTCAAAACCATTAAAAGTGTGATTCATTTACCTGTGTGTGAGAACCAGTGAGCATAGTTGGACTTCTCAAGGTCGTTGCTAAATGGAGTGATTTCCTCCTGTTTTACTCTTTTCTCTGTGCAGTTTTGTTGTCTTTCTATACCTTATGTATGAGCTTCTCTGTTTTGTCTTCTTTCTCTCCCCAGCCTTACATGTGACTCTTAACAAAATGAGGCTGAGAATGCGCAAGGCTTCTCAGCAGCCGAACCTCGCCCGCAGGCCCTGCACGGCCCGGAACAAGCGGAAGCACTCCGAGATGGAGGAGTGCTCAGGTGATAGCAAGGGCCTTCTGTCCAGCATCAAGAAGTTCATCCATGGAAGTTCCATAAAGGTGAGCCTCTGGCAGCCTCTCTCTTTATTTTATTATGAGTTCATAATCGTGGCAGATTCAGACCATTACAGCTCTTTTCTTGGAGTTGATTATTGTTGCCCAGAATGTTCTCGAATAAAATGCCAGCAAGACCTGGTATCAGTGACGGTTCTAGCTTGTATGGCGCCCTGGCTGAACCACCCCTTCTGCCACCCCTAAATAAAATTAATTGAACATAAATTTAGCATATGAAATGAACAAATGTACTGCACAACTGTACAGTAAAAACATCAATAAAATAAGTGTTATGTTTATTTAAAAAAAAAAAAAAATCACATTATATTACAAAATCACATTTTACTGTGTGGCTATGTAAGCTAGTTGGATAGAAAAAAATTATGTTGTTGCCCTATGTGTAATAAAATAGCATAGCATAAGTGATATATTAGCCTATTTTAGCATGATAGCTGCAAAGATACCATTTTTCTTTTGCACTTTTCCCCTTTTCTTTTTCCTAAATGGGCTCCTGATGGCTTACCTCCCACTAATCCCTACTTAAGTCACCTTCGTGAAAGTGACTTAAGCAAGATGCTTAATGAAAAGTGTCGTTTGTCTGCTCATGCTCCATCATATTTGTTTTTGCAAATTTTTATTTATTTAATTTTTTACAGCATTGCACATTATAAACAATCACACACGATTCCCTTGAGTTTATGAATTCAATAACCAATCAGAGGTGTTCAGATGAGACATCTAACCCTAACGCCGGAGATTTGCTCAGTGATTGCGCTTGCAGACTGAATTCTACACTCTCGCAAATTCTCTCATCATTAACAACAAAGTATATATGTACAATGTAAGTAAGAGACTCCTTTCAAAATGTAGACAGCTTCAATGATTAATAACGGGATTTTTTAAAAGTCATAATGTTCTTTGATAATGTAAATATTCTTTGTTCTCTTTCTCTGTAATTTATGTGCTGTGTGAATAAAAGTTGAAATTAAAGCGTAACTTACAATGTTTTATTAAATTGTGATCACGTTAAATACAAATTCAGTAGTAATAAAAAAAAATGATGACATGACACCCATATCTGGTACATGCCTAAAAAGACGTGTGATGTGTGTAGATATTAGTCTAAACATTAGGCTTCTGGAGTTGGTTTACCCTTCGCCTGTTTCTGAGTGAGAGAGTGCTTCTCCGGGTGCACACTCCGAGTCCCAACCAGGGGTGCCTTTCCCAAAAGCAGCTATAGTCGTAAGTTCCGTCATTACCAATAGAGTTCAATGGAACTAACGACCATAGTTAGCTAACGATGCTTTTGGGAAACACACCCCAGGTTAACTGACCCACATAGTGATGACATATTGACGTGCAGTGTAAATGAGTGGTAAAAACATGATTGTGCATTCAGTTTTGTTTTTTATGTGGGCGCCCTGTGCCACCCCCGGCAAGATGCCGCACTGGGCAGTTGCCCATGTCGCCCATACCTAAATCCGCTACTGCCTGGTATCATATTTCCCCAGAAATGCATGGTGGAATGCTGCTGCTTGTCTGAGGAGCTCAGTCCTGTTCTAATTTTAGCTGTGGTTCCACAGCACTCAGATAATGACAGTAGGTAGGGTTGGCTTTAACAGGCATGCATCAGGGCTTCACATTATGTCCAGTAAAGGTATTAGGTTCTCTTATTTGAGTTCTAGATTACCTTAATTTGACATAGGACAGTGGTTCTCAACCTTTTTAACACTAAAGGCTTAAATGCACTACAAAACTTTTGCTCAGATTTTTACTCCAAATTGACAGCCTGGACAAGTAGGTGCTAGTTGCAGAAAGTCAGAGCCAGTCTGCAGATTTGAGTTTACAGATTTCCTAGAAAATCGCTGAGTATATGATGGACACAGAATGTTTTTTTTTGTTTGTTTGTTTTTTAAGTTTTAGACTATGATTCCATACCAGAGGATATCAAACATTTTTGATATTTTGAGCCAATTTTAGAACACGCATTGTTTTCATTTGTCACACATCTCCTACCAACAAGCCATGTGTTTCTGCGTGAGTTTGTTGTGTTTGAAATTACTTGAAAGTCTGGTAGCCTAGTGTATGATCTTCAGTTGTTTAGTGTATTATGACCAGTTTTTCCTCTGTAACGGTTTACAAAGTTAGCAGGTGTGTGATGCCTAGTGTTTTAATATCTGTTCAGATTTTAAAGGGATAGTTCACCCAAAAATGTAAATTCTGTCATTAATTGCTGACCCCCATGTCGTTCCAAACCTGTAAGAACTTCATTCATCTTCGGAACACAAATTAAGATATTTTTGATCAAATCCGAGAGGTTTCTGACCCTGCATAGACCGCAGTGCACTACCACATTTAAGGCCCAGAAAGGTTGTAAGGACATTGTTAAAATAGTCCATGTGACATCAGTGGTTCAACCTTACTTTTATGAAGCTACGAGAATACTTTTTGTGCGCAACAAAAATAACAACTTTATTCAGCAATTTCCAGCATTTCCCTGGTTACTGCAGTAAACAAAGCAGCACTGCACTTATAAACATTTACATTTAGATATTTAGCAGACGCTTTTATCCAAAGCGACTTACAAACGAGGACAATGGAAGCAATCAAAATCAACAAAAGAGCAACGATAAGCAAGTGCTATAACAAGTCTCAGTTAGCTTAATGCAGTACGTAGCAAGTTTTTTTTTTTAAATCATATAATATATAAAAAGAAAACATAGAATAGAAAAAGAATAGAGCAAGCTAGTGTTAGAGGCCTTTTTTGCTTTTGTTAATCAGAAGTCAGAATTATAATTGTATAATAAATAAAAAGAAAACAAATAGATAGAATGCAAAAAGATTAGAGAAGCAAGTGTTAGTATTTAAAAAGAAAAAAAGAATAGAGTTAGAATAGAGAGTGCTAGAGTTAGAGGGTCAAATAAAGATGGAAGAGATGTGTTTTTAGCTGATTCTTGAAGATGGCTAAGGACTCGAAGGCAGGTCATTCCACAAGGAGGGAACATTTCATTTAAAAGTCAGAGAAAGTGATTTTGTGCCTCTTTGGGATGGCACAATAAAGCGCCGTTCACTTGCAGAACGCAAGCTTCTAGAGGGCACAATAATATATACACTACTTGAATATTCATTAAACAGAGGCAAGATGAACAGAAAATGCCATCTAAACTTTAAACATTTTGGAAAATGATTGCAATGCAGTGTGTGCAAATCCGGAACAGAGATCGGAAATAAAACCAAAAAAAAAAAAAGCAAAAACCAACGGAGCACAGTGTCAGTGAAAGGAAGTGATTGGCTAATATTATAACCAATCTAAATATAATATCTAAATATAATATAACCAATCTAAAAATCTGCATTAAAGTTAAGAATGTCAAGATGAAGTTTAATTGGTTATGTAACATTGGATAGAGCGGTGGGCCAGTCACTATATCAGCTTATAGCAGGCACCTACTGTGCAGTAATTAGTGAACGTTTTGTAGAGAATTGAAAACAACACATGCTTCCAAATATATTTTGAGGTTGCACAGATTAAATTTTGGAAGCATATTCCAGAAGTTTCAATAACTTATTTTTGTATGTGTTTTTTTTTTTTTTTAACATTTTAATTTAGAGTTAAATATTAATAATAGGTTTTCAACTATCTCTAACCTTAAACATGTTAAAACTGGTGTGTATAAGACTCATGGTTGCATGACTCTTGGTGTTTCAGGTGGAGCAGGACAACCCAGCAAAGAGGACTCGTCTGAGCTGCGAGCTCATCACCTCCACCCCACAGAGGAAAAATGACCTGCAGAGGAAAAGCATCTACAGGGCCCGCACAAATAGATAGAATGCAAAAAGATTAGAGAAGCAAGTGTTAGTATTTAAAAAGAAAAAAAGAATAGAGTTAGAATAGAGAGTGCTAGAGTTAGAGGGTCAAATAAAGATGGAAGAGATGTGTTTTTAGCTGATTCTTGAAGATGGCTAAGGACTCGAAGGCAGGTCATTCCACAAGGAGGGAACATTTCATTTAAAAGTCAGAGAAAGTGATTTTGTGCCTCTTTGGGATGGCACAATAAAGCGCCGTTCACTTGCAGAACGCAAGCTTCTAGAGGGCACAATAATATATACACTACTTGAATATTCATTAAACAGAGGCAAGATGAACAGAAAATGCCATCTAAACTTTAAACATTTTGGAAAATGATTGCAATGCAGTGTGTGCAAATCCGGAACAGAGATCGGAAATAAAACCAAAAAAAAAAAAAGCAAAAACCAACGGAGCACAGTGTCAGTGAAAGGAAGTGATTGGCTAATATTATAACCAATCTAAATATAATATCTAAATATAATATAACCAATCTAAAAATCTGCATTAAAGTTAAGAATGTCAAGATGAAGTTTAATTGGTTATGTAACATTGGATAGAGCGGTGGGCCAGTCACTATATCAGCTTATAGCAGGCACCTACTGTGCAGTAATTAGTGAACGTTTTGTAGAGAATTGAAAACAACACATGCTTCCAAATATATTTTGAGGTTGCACAGATTAAATTTTGGAAGCATATTCCAGAAGTTTCAATAACTTATTTTTGTATGTGTTTTTTTTTTTTTTTTAACATTTTAATTTAGAGTTAAATATTAATAATAGGTTTTCAACTATCTCTAACCTTAAACATGTTAAAACTGGTGTGTATAAGACTCATGGTTGCATGACTCTTGGTGTTTCAGGTGGAGCAGGACAACCCAGCAAAGAGGACTCGTCTGAGCTGCGAGCTCATCACCTCCACCCCACAGAGGAAAAATGACCTGCAGAGGAACAATAACTTATTTTTGTATGTGTTTTTTTTTTTTTTTTAACATTTTAATTTAGAGTTAAATATTAATAATAGGTTTTCAACTATCTCTAACCTTAAACATGTTAAAACTGGTGTGTATAAGACTCATGGTTGCATGACTCTTGGTGTTTCAGGTGGAGCAGGACAACCCAGCAAAGAGGACTCGTCTGAGCTGCGAGCTCATCACCTCCACCCCACAGAGGAAAAATGACCTGCAGAGGAAAAGCATCTACAGGGCCCGCAGAAGAAGCTTCGTCAATGGAGGTGAGTCCCTTGCGTGCTCTAGTTAAACAATGAAAACTGATACTCTAGTCTGCACTGGAGCTGTCGCTATACACAAATGTCATTAGTATTAGAGATGCACCGATATCAAATTTCTCTGCCGATTATTCAGAGTTATTCATATATCTGCCGATACAGATTGTATGATTTCCTTAAGGACAAAAATCTCTCCTAAACGATGCTGTTAACTACACAGGCAACCCTATCATTTGGCACATTACTATAATAATCGGGTGCACATAAGTTTTTCAGTCTGGTTCTCATGAGAGCACCTGGAGATTTGGTTTGGTACTGAACATGTTTACACATCGCATTTTTTATTTTGGTCACACATGCACACCTGTGTACCACTTATGTGCACCCCTGATAATATTAAAGGTTAAAATTAACAAAAGAGCTATTATATTTTCTGATATCAAAATTACACTCAAATAAAAATTGAAATGTCTGTTTGCAACTCATTTGCACTTAGTGCCAGATTCATGCCAGATTTATTCAAACATACAGTACATATGTAATTATAAGTAAAAAAGCTCCTCTTTAGTGTTGTTTTATAGCTAACTAATGAACGGTGAACAGTGGATAACTTTGCTGAGGCAAATGACACGTTAAGTGACATATTGTTCACAATCTGTTTTATTGGCATCTTTCCATGTTTGAAACACTGATTGAGCGATTACATTAGACATGATACATTTTGGTAAGCTATGCTGTATCTTTCAATATACCTTCTGATGTTCATTCATGTTTATTTTGCGCTATAACTTATTAAAGTGGAGGACACTCGTGCTCCGCGCTGCTGCTTGAACCAAGGTGCTACAGCGATCTGTCACGTCACATTTAAAAGCATAAAAAATGGCATTCATTGTTTGAATTTCGTGATAGAATGTACAGGATATGAAAGCTGAGACTTTGTTTCTTATCAGAAGTAAGAAAACAAAGCTTTTGCGATTATTGGATGAAAGGCACGCTACAAATTAGGGCTGGCTCGATACCACTTTTTCAGAATCGATCCCGATCAGATACCAAAAATTCTGATTATCTGCGGATACCGATATCAGTCCGATACCAGCGCAGTTTTTTTTTTTTAAATCAGTGTTGAATTTATATACCTCAATGTGTGTTGACCTGATCATCACTCTGTTGTGTGTTACACACAATACTAAATATAAACAACGTCATTCTAAAGAAAAACAACAAACAAAAAAATATATATAATCATAATCTATGATAAATACTAGGGATGGGAAGATTCCCCGATTCGCTCGGTGCACCAAAACCTGACTTGAAATAACTTAACAAATCAATCGGGACTAAAGCGGTTCCATAAATGACAAATTAAGTTCACACAATCTCATTAATTTGTGCACGCTTATTCTTAAGCAGACCTTAATGTCGATCATGGATCAGATTGATCCACCATGACAAACAGCGAATTTATCTGTGCTGTTTAATGCATTTGAGACCATGTGTTTTCCTCAGTGCATAACTGACATGTCACAGGTATATTTTTCATCTGTAAATGTTAGAAAGTCATGCAAACATATCCATTTTGCTGTCAGGAGTGGGCGAGGCTGATGCGAGCGCAACGAGCGCATCTGCGCGCTAAACAGACAGAGCGCAATCGAATAGGAGCACAATACGTCACGTCACGTTAATAATTCTGAGTAAAATATACATTTTGCTAAAAAAAAAATGTTTTTGGACATTAAATGTGTCTTTTGTATAATTGTAAATCTACATATAAAAGTGTATTTGTATGATAGCAGTAACTGTAAGTGGACTATTAGGTGAATTAAATGTAAGCATAGTGCAAGACTAATTACTAAGCTTAAATTAGTTAATGTGTGTTTCTATTATAGCAGTTAAAATAGTCATTTTCTTTAGTATTTATTTTCATTTTTAATTCAGTGATTTTAACTTTTAATTTAGTTATTTTAATGCTTTAAAGAGCAATTTTAGATTGTAATGTTCTAATGTTCTGCTATCTGTTCTGCAAAGGTACAGCTGTCAGTCATAAAACCAGAGAGCCTTTCTGCTTGGCTAGAAACTGTAAAAAAAAAAGTCAAATAATAGTGTTCCTATTGGTCAGTGTTAGAGGAACTCAGCTTAGTCTGACAGTTAACCTGCTTTAGACCAGGTTAGTTTCCCAGCATAAGTTGCCACAGTGACTAAGCTTGATCTAGGCCTATGTTAA